TCTTTCCCTCGTCTTGATAATTCTTACAGCCTAAAATCAACAGTTCACGGACACTAGCTTTTTGGAGGTTTTTTTGTTTGTTTGTTTGTTTGTTTGTTTTAAGGACTATTTACTTTTGCACAATGTAGTAAACCTTACAGAATGTAGCTATTAGACTTGGATTATGTAAATCCAGAAAGACTATAATTTCACTTAAAATCATGAGCCTTGTCATGTGGTGGTATGTGAACTTCTTTGCATGACACCATCTCAATAAAAATATTCAGGCAATGCTTGGCACTGAAGAAATACCTGACTCCTAGCAACTTACTTGTCACCTCTACCATCATTATCTTCTGCAGAAAAAGTACTAAAAAAAGAAAGAGGAGAACATCACCTTCACTGAATCTATTCTCTTATCTTCAGTACTTTCTGAGACATCAAATCAAACTGTTGATCAGAGCCCTGGGAGGGAAGAATGTCTCCATGCCTGGAGTTCTTTTGCTCCAATAATTGCTGCTACTTCACCTATCCTCTCTTGCAGGTGCCTGTTGCTAGTAATAACAAATAAATGGAGTAGCCTGTCCTACCTGGGAAAAAGTGAAGAACTAGTGCTGTTAGGCTGCCAGGTAAGCTGCAGACACAGAGGACAATAGGGACAGAGGACAACTGTCCCCTTGGCTAATATGTGGCTATCAAGACACCAGCCTCACCAGGAGGAGTCTCCTGTTGTATGACAGAAGAAACTGCCTCTCTGACCCCAGTTTCTTGTAGCACAGCATGGACATGCCATCCTTTATATCTTTCAATACATATTTCCTCTAAGGACAAAATGTGTGCATTTTTAGAATACTCATTGTACCTGATCGGGTAGTCAGCAGCACTGAGGTTGATGAAGAAATCCCATGGCCAGTCATTCATCTCCATTAAGTCCCTCATGGCCTGCAGGTAGGTGGTCAGAAGACTTGCTCCTCCCCAGATAGTTGCCATTCTCCAAGAAGTGACTCTCACATTTGGGTACTGGTTAGCAAACTGGAGCACTTGCCGGTGCAAGTAATTGGATCGCTTTACAGGAGAAAAAAGTAATACATTCAAGTTACTCTATTCAAAATTGTCCCTCCCTGTATTCACTAACCACCAACTCCTCAACTCACTGAGCATTGCCACTGCTTTGCCCTCACTATGGCACAGAGCATTCTTTTGCTAAATGCTGATTTGGAGATGTACAGACAGTCCTATTAATTTTTTTTAATTACAACTGCAGTAATCCCTAATCAGTGTAACTTGCTCTTATTTATCATTTGTCATCAGTAGATACGAAAGGGCTCTTGTAAAGGAGGTGACTTACTGCCTCACTTTGGCCCACGGTACCTTCGGTCATCTCTATCCAGTGGGCCACCACTGTCAGTTTGCATCAGCTTATCAATTACTGTTAACTAAATGTACAACAGACAGATATGGACACTCACAGTCATACACAGAGAAATGAAGGCTGTCACATAGAGAAGAAAGAAAAAAAAACCAACAAACCAAAGAGATGCTCCAAAACATGTAACAGATGGAGAGACGAAAAGTGACACACATTCTGTGCAGCAGAGGTTAAGAGAAGATGGAGATGATGACAAAGATGGATAGACTGACAGATGGTGAGACAGGCAATTTATAACCAGTGATATATTACCTTGTCAACATGAATGTAATAAAAATGGTCTTTATGGTAAATAGCCTTAAACATGCGTTGGAGTTGCCGAGAAGCTCTGCCATGAACAACCAAGACAAATGCGATCCTGACTGGGTTGGCTGGCATGTATTCTACGGAGTCCTCATCCCACTGTACATTGTTGTTGGCTTTTCCTGTTCAAAAACAAAACACAGGACATCTCTGAGTGTATCCACAGGGCAGGGGTGCAGAGAGCAGTATACATTTCACCTCAGCTCTTTCTTCAAAAACAGTTTCTAAGAAGAGAGAACTCATGAGGGGTGCCAGCCTGTACCCCTCTCCTCCACCACTGTACACCTCAGGAGCAGCAGCTGTGTGTCAGCCTTCCCCACAGAGCCCTGCCCATGTGCCTCAACCTGGACACGGCTGATAATGCAGAATGCAGATAAGTAGCCATTTGTTTGTGAGTTGGACCAAGCTCTATCTGGGTACACACATTTGCATCTTCAAAGGAATCATCTCCAAGTTTCTAAGCACTCTTCAAAATATTTGAAAAACGCTAAGGTCACCTTCCCCTCTGCTCCCCCAGAAATGAAACACCCTGTTTATCAGAAGATCAGCACAGTTTTGCTGAGAAGCTGGTGAAACTTCTGCTTAACAGCTGCTGAGGATTATCTCCACTGATAGCATTTATTTGTAACAGCAGATGTATCCTGGAACATTTAAATGACAACCTACATATCTTTACTTCTTTGTGTAGGAAAGGGGCTCTTACAATCCTGCTTAAAATTTATGGTAATTTTTGTTTTAACTGAGGTATTTCTGGTCTCAATTTTCTAAAGCAAACACCTTAGTATAAGGTTAAGACAGGATGTACCAAAACATTTTTACTCAGGAATTTAAAGTGCTTTGTTTTTGGCTTGTATAACAGCTCTTCAACTCAAAAACCTGAACACAATGTAAGAAAAATACAATTTCATAAAAAACTGAGATTTATTCTTCAGTTAAACAACCTTGAGTGCTCCAACCTTATAAGGAAAAGAAAAAATTAGGAATAATCTGAAAATTTCAATATAAGCAGAACAAAGAAAGTGCCTCAAAGCTCAAAAAAACCCTTTTGCCCCAGTTTACCCCTTGCATATTTTTCCTTTTTTAAAGGCAGTATCATTTTCTCATACTTTACTTAGTCCCTTCCCCTTCCATCCTCCCGAAATGGTATAATTTTTCCAAGTCCTAAGATGTTATTTGTTACTTTGGCTTATTTCCTCTAAAAGGTAAACCCATTTGGCAATCTCGGAAAGTCTGAACTTCTGGTTATACTGAAAATATAAATTTCCAATATAACTATTGGAAATGCATATGAACATGGGCAGGACTGAAACGTTCATTTCTCACTATAAGGAAAGGATTGGAAATGGCCATGCATGAGCTGAACCAGCTAAAAGCAGCAGCTGCAATCCTGTGTGAGAAGATGAACACACCTGCCTTCAACCATACATAACACTTTGGTCAAATAAGATACTTCAAACTCAATGCACAAGAACTAAGTTCTTAATAATCAGCTCAAAAAAATTCCCCAGCCAGGCAAGCAACCATAGGTGGGACAGGATTTGAATCTGCTTTGTTTGAAAGTCATGTCTTCCCGGCCCTCTCAGATTGTGTTTTACATTCTTTTATAAGAGCTACTAATAACCTTTTTTTTTTTTCCTCACCATCAAAAAAGCTGTTTTCTTCCCATCTTCCCAAGAAAAGCCAATTAATTGTCCAAGTGCATTAGAGATACACTGATGCCATTTAGCAGATTCCAGGTGTACAGTGCAGACATTCATACTATTAGAGGTCAGAATTTCCTAATTGACTCAAATTTGATGGAGACTCAGGAAAAAACCCTCAGCAAACTTGGGACAATAAGAGGTGGATCTTCTAAAAGCTAATGAATCCCTCAGGTTTGAAAGAAGCATGAAACCCTAAGGAGCTCCTAGCCCTGTAGTGTTCTGGCTATTCAACAGAACACCTCTGAAGAGAAACACCTGGGTGCTGCTGACTTCATCTGAACACAGCTGCATCCACTTACCCTGCCCTGATAGCACGAATCAATGCATAGAAGACACCAAAAGAGTTATTGCTGTGTAGTTCAGTACACTATTTACTGCCATTACATCCATAAATGCAACCAGGAGCCCTGTTGTTATAGCAGGAATAGTAACCATGATCACTCTGAAGAGGCAGAGCTCTGCAGGCCATAGTTAAATTCACAGAAACAGGCCCACTGCCTTCAGCAGAACCATTTCTGCAGCAGCCAGCTGAGTGGCAGTTGCCCAACTCAGATTTCCACTATAAACTCCTCATTTTCAATTGCTCACAACTTATAACAACACAGCAGGTTAAAAATTTCCATGCTTGGCTTTCATTTGAAAATGTTTTCCACGTTTGGTTTGAGCAAAAACAGTTTTGCCTTGTTCAAATGGTAAAAAGGCTTAAAACCCCCAAAAACATTTTTGTAACTGTCTCAATTTAGAGGTCAGGGTGAATCACAAACCAGAGGACAGATATATAAACAAATACATACAAAACCTATCTTGATGATCACAGGAATAGGCTGGTGAGGGCCCCATGTGGCAAGGACAACTCAGGAGAGGGGTCCACAGTTCCTCACAGCACCCAGTGGAGATGGATTGTGCAGAGCACCTGGTGAGCTGAGAGGAAAGAAGGAGCCGCCCAGCCCAACAGAGGCTCAGGAAAAAGGGGCGGAGCTGCCTGTTCTCCTGCCTTTTATGGAGTATGGCAGGAAATGGGCGGGAATTCTGACCCCTCTGTTCCAACCATCCTGCGTCCTTCAAGGTCCTAAAGACCTTCTCTAGTTCTTCCTATCGGTACCAATAAATCGGCTGGGCTGACTCAAACCCTAGCAGTAACAAACCTAGTAAACAAAGTAGTTTGAGTTATATAAAACCAACAAACCTCACTAAGCAATTTAGCAGTGAGCCATGAGGACCTGATGAGAGGGGTCTTTGTCTGATGGCTTGATAATAGCAATATTCATCTGGACTTTTTCAGAACTCTTGCTGGAGTAAAATTCTAATGATCCATTACAGCAAGTGCCTTATTTGCCATTAGGCTCAAGAGGAGATATTCTGTCTTCCTGCAGTATCCTCCAGCGCAGACACCATGCACAGGGAAGCTAACTCCTAAAGCCCTGCTTGTGTTAATCATACTTAGATGAAAAAGCCATTTTTCCTATGCTAGAACCTAGAAAACTATCTTCAGCAACATTAATTCCATCTTTGGAATGCCAATTTTCACCTCCAGTGTAGGAAATAATTACTTTGTTTCCATGGTGGCCCAAGGAGACATCTTCAGTGAAAGAAAACATTTTAAGTGAGCACATTTTTTATTTTTTTTTTTAATTTCTAAATTGTTATTACTGTTTATATGTAAAAGGCCCACTGGTCGAGTAGAAGTATAGAAGACTTCTCAGAGAAATAATGGTATTCACCAAAAAGTGAGGCTCAGCAGCATGTGCAATTTTAGTGAATATGTATACTGACAACCAACCACCCCTGCAGAGCTCTGTGTCTCACAGAAATGTCCTGCTTGCTGCCAGGCCATCACCTGCTCTTCTGTGCCTCTAAGGAGTGGCATGAGCTGATTATGTTCAGCATCTTGGGGAACCAGCCCCTTTGTGTGCCAGCTGAACAGAGCATATCCACTGCCCAGATCACAGAGGGGCTGGCTTTCACCTCTAGCAAAGCTAACCAAGTTCCTGATGAAGATGATTAACATGACCAGTCCTATGTGTGGCTTCTTTTAACTTTCTCAGGGAAGTAGGAGAGGTGAGATCAGCTGAGACAATCATCTGTGCAACTGCCCCAGGGGCACAGGGATTTGAGAGGGATGTTTATGGCTTACAAAATGAAATGTTGCTGGTTATGTTTTCTAGATTTCTTTGAAATTGCTGTTACCTGTACTTTTTATCTGTGAGTCAGCATGGAGCACTTTGGATAAAATTTTGGAAATCATGTTGCTATTGAAAAGAAGATTTTAATTTTTTTTTTATATTTGCAGAAATGTTTTATCTCAACAACTCCAATCTAGCATTTTTCATTCTCAGACTCTACCATTAACTACAGAAGCAATTTATGATCCTACGTAAGTTCATATGATCAAGTAATCCATGAGCAAAAATCAATGCAAGGTAGGTGGGAAGCAGCGAGACATAATTTACAGGCACTCAGTGACCAGTCCATTTAAGATTAGAAAGACAGATTTCAGTAATGTTCTTTCCATGCTGAGCAAAAGCTCTGGCTTGGAACAAAGGGGCTGCTGATGTGGGCATTTTGCATCTGCATTAATTATTTCAGAGGGTGACAGTATAAACTCAAGGCAGTCAGAAAGAGAAGAGCTGCTGCCTTACAGTTGGACAATTCTCTTCAGGAGATGGAAGTTTCAGAGACTGGAAGTTTCTCTACAGTGAGTTCGTGAACTGATAAGCAACTTCGCATCCCTGCAGAATTTAATATAAAAAGGGAAACTCATTGCCAGTAAAGATTTGGGTTGAGTTCTGTTGCAACTCCTGTGCTGGAGAGATTTCTACTTTGCCTTTCTATGAACAGAAAAATAAAGTGCATGAAAGAAGGAAGAAAGGATGATAGACGACACATGCAGAACTGTTTCATACTGGTTTCTATCTTTTCCCAACTGGAAAAAAACCTTAAGTTTCCATTTTGGAATTTGAGAGAAAAAATTTCCACCTCAGCTTTGTTGTCCTTCTGTTAAGGCTATTTAACATTTGTGCTGCATGCAGCACTTCCAACACTCACTCAAGAACCCACTGGGACAGGTATCATCCATTAAGCAAATACAGAAAGACACCCTGCACCAGAAAACACATTTTTCACATGATCTGAAGCATTCACTGTAAATGAAGAAATATAAGAACCCTGAGAACAAAGGCCAAAATATTTTCTATCACAAGATCTGTGAAAGCAGTTAGGATAACACAGAACTGTTAAAAATCAATTCAGAACTTCAGGTTCTGTGTGTACACGTGTGTGTGTGCTGCAACCGCTTATTTATATCCACTAAATTTCAAACAAAACCAGGGAGCATTTGGCTTGAAGCAGCCTGCCATATTTCAAACCCAACTTCCTTCTGTCTTGCAGTCAGTCTCAAGTAGTTACTAAAACCATTTTTA